TTACGTCGTTAACATAAGTAAATGAAATCCAAGAGAATGCACCGAGTACTCGTTAAGCAACTCGCAAGACAGCACCCACGTGCTATATCACCCAAAGGAGCCAGACTCACGTCGCCAAGAAACAGGAAACATGCGACTGACGCCCAACTCGAAATTGGCAATCATGTGCAACCCTCAGCAACAGAAGAAAGAACAGATAACCAAGTTATTACTATTGTAGAAAGGGAAACTAAGACACGGCCTGGGAAACAAAAAAACAGTCAAACACGCAGCCAGAGTTCGGGGAAAAAAGAAAGTCTTGCTACAGGTTCCAGTCCTCAACGCCAATCCGGCCTGGCCGTATGAATGAAAATCAATAGTTCCCCAAATGTGACCCAGGGGGACACGACTCGAGCAAACCTCAATTCTGAGATGTCTTGATGAGACCCCCATAACAACCATCATGTACCCTTGCCACACTGGTGATGCTTTCAGGGAAGGGAGCTGTCGCTGTTGACGTCGGGCACGTATTTTCCGCCACGAAGCCATTCCATGCGTCTTAAGCCTCTTTGATCCAAACAAGCTGTGGTGGGACAATCACCACCACTTTGACCGACTTGACTTGATTGTCGTGGGAAGATGAAGCATCCCACAATTTCATCGATATTAGGTGGTGATGATACTGGCACATCGAGAGATGGGCTAGATGATGGGTTGTAATGCGATAGTTGCTCACCGGTCATGTTACTATTTTCTGTAGACTGCAGGACAACCCGTTGTTGTGCTTCTTTGCAATAGCAAAGCATCATCAGTCATGGCCCTAGGAGCAAGCCATCAAGCGGCCCCAGCGTCGAATCACATACCTTGAAGGAGGTGCTTTGTACGGAGTACGGAGTACAAATGTCATGTACGATGCGGTATTAAGCAACGCAGATTTCGGCTGACACGCACACGCCATTGACCATGTGTACATTCATGCGCAACAGCTGTAGTGGTTTGTCGACAATGTGGGGAGCCACGATCGGACCGCTGCGACGTGAGGCGGCGAACTAGAGTTCATCAGACTGTTGAGTATGACAAGTCACGACGCTAATCGTGGCATGGGTTTACGTCAAGATGTGGCAGTCAGACATTAAAACGATCTGGCCATGCGTGCCAGAGTTCAGCTAAGACGGTAGCATGCGCAATGCAACCAAGCAGGGCCACGCAATATGGCCCGGATTTCTTACATTTTTGCATGATACTACTTCGTGCTCGGTATTTATTTCTAGTCTCAAACACAAACAAAGACACGGCATTGAGTGGGCGTGGATGACAACGTGGGACATGTGGGGAGGTAGTATGTACTTGAACCATGAAGAAGAATGTGGAGAGAGATCATCGAGGATGAGGACAGTTGAGGTTGTTGCCAAGTCGCCAAGTCGCCAAGTCTCCAAATTCTCCAATGCAAACGCGGGCGCTGCTGCCGCCGTCGTGCTGGAATGGAGAGAGGGAGTGAGATATGAAGATGGAAGAGGAAGGAGCTAGTGAGCCAATGGCCTAGTCCGACGGAGAATTAGTATGTACGCCGTTCCCCAGTCTTTCCCGCCAGCCATTTGCTCCTGCCGTTCACGGTTCCGGCCGCGGGAAAGGAAGTTGCCCACTTGCCGGTCGCGCTTGCGGCTGTTGTGGCCACGCTTTGGCAGGGCTCCACCGTGGCCCTCCAGATCGATACGTATTCCATACGGAGTACGTACTACGGAATATTAAACTCTGTTCAACTTCGTTCAAGGTCGACCGCATCACGTTGCGCTACCGCCAAACTCCCATCACGTCCCAGCAGCCACGATGTTTTACCTCCAACCCCTTTATTCCGTATCATGCAGCTGGTCGCACGGGCTTGGCTTGATTCCGATCCAAAGGACGATCGTATGCTGCCACAGAATAGTACTTCACCCGACCCCTTGCTTGCGCCGCCGAGGCTTGCATCCTAGCCTATCTTGGCCATGTCCCTTTGCTTCCGTCCGTCCATGTGATTTGCGAGGCTGCGTTTTCTCCAAAGTAAGCATGTATCCACTGCTGACAACCTAAATAGCCGACCTGCTTATGCTGAAGCTTCGACAGTGCCTGAGCTCGGCGTAACCTCAACCCTCAACGTGAATGGACCAGGCGAATGATGGCGCTGGGGATGGTCGCATCGCACGATGCTGATGCCAATCCCAGTACGAAGTGCCAGCTCTGATGGCTGATGCCATTGGCGGGGCGCAGGCTTGCGCATCTGGCATCCTCGACAACTCTTAAACCCTGGTCACCGGCTAGCAGGCGTCGGGTAATGATGATCCTGATTCTCAGGTCTCGCCAACTCGCCCAGCGGCCGTTGAAGTCGACACCAGGTTCGCATTGGTCCTTCTTACTCACCGGTCCCACACCCTACGTTGCGGGAAAGGGCCTTTGTCTTTACTCCTGTCACATCACATGGCCAGCCAGGTGAGGTTTTATGTACGGAGTAGTGTGGCACGATACGGAGTATTCAGATCAGGGAGTGTGTCTTGATACCTATCCAGATCGATACTCTCGAGCATGAGAGCATATCTTGACATTTTCGTGCTTGACAGTTGAACGAGAATAATAACAACAACAATAACATCATCATCATCATCATCATCACCACCAAAATTGGCAGAGTATTGTCGCGCTTGGCGTATGTCGAACACAGTGGTTGTGTTCAGATGGCAACAACAGCCGCACTTTGTTATTCCCCGATCAGAATGTGGCGATCATGTCGGAGTAGTCACGCGGACCTCATTAACATATTGTCGGAACACGCGAAAACAGAAAGCTTGAACGGAGTAACTACTATTGGCAATGTCAGAATCGCCCACTACTGCCTGCAGACTCCAGGGCTGAGATTTGGTATTACGAAAAAGCCGCGTTGGCGTTCCGGGTAGATTATGTTGTTTCTCGGTACCCGAGCACCCAGGCCAACAAGACTCAGCCAAGTAACTTCCGGCAGACACACATTTAGCCAAGAATGTCTCTGCACCCCTGGTCTGCATATGCTACTCGTCTCGCGTTGCATGAAAAGTACCATCAGGCAAACAAGCAGAATAAAAACGCCAAAAGCAAGTAAATATTAGCATCATTGGACGGGGATTGCTGCCATGATCCAAAAGCCACACAGTTCAACACATAGTCGCAGAGGCCAGCCAGAGATGCACAAGTGGTGTGACTATGAGAAGAAAACAAAAAAGGGTTGCAGGCACACACACACACACATATGTCGGTCCAACAGCATGGAGCCTGGGGATGGAATACGGGGAAGTGCACTTGTTTTGACATTTCCCATCCTGTACTCCGTACTATGTACTCCGTACGCATCATATTGTACGTGATTGACCTCGCCGACCGAGCTACCTTTGCCCACCCCCTTGCAGCATCTCGTCATGCTGTTGGTCACAATCCGCAGTCCGATCGGGTAGCCCACGTTGTGTCTTTGTTCCCATCAAAACGAGCGTTGGTGCCAAAAGGAAATTCAACCCTGGCCTTGGTCTGAGTTGTGAGTGGCACTCCGTACTCCGTACCCCTCAGTCTGCTGAAATACAATCCAGCACGGTGCCATGACTTTGCCCTCCTCACCGAGCCATCTCTACTCTCCCACGACTTGACCATCGTCACCTTCTTGGCCTGCCAGGCAAGATTGTCCGCAGCCACTGGAACAACGACCGCCTCATTGCCCATGCACATCGGCACCACGCATCACGTATTGGTCCGCGCTATCCGCCATCCTTGCCTGATGAACAGACGGGCACACCGCGACGACAACTAGCCAAGGAAGCAGCATCAGCAATCAGCAGCATCAGCTTCCGCGTTTCTTGCCGCACCGACCAACATCAGCCCTTTCGAACTTCTGCCTCTGTGTGCGCCTTTGCGCCCTGGGAACTTTAGGCCTTTGGACCGTTGGACCACAGCCCACAAAGCATCTTACGCGACACGCCACCGCTGAACTTCGACTTCCTCTCCCAAACTTGGTTCCAACGCTAGCTTGACTCTATTCTCACATCCCATCTCCGCCGTGGGACCCCCGGCCGCCTTCTTCTCGTCGCCCATTCCAAGGCGCCGCCGATTGCGAAGCCTCCTCCCTCTGTTCAGAGTCCAGACACCGTGGACACCGGCTGGGTCCTGGGTCCTGGGTCCTGCCGCGCTACAGCCTACACCCCTCTCGCGGATGCATAGTTGGATACTATACTAGTACTACTCAAGCCTTTCATGACGATGGTCCTTGTGGAGCCTTAGCAAACCGAACCCCCTCCCTGGGCGAGTTGCAACACAACATTTCATCAGCCTACAATGCTTTGCGGCCTTGCCGCGCCGCATCTGCTCTTTGTGTCTCTGAGGCAAAGACGATACTTGACTTTCCACGTGCTAGTACCTGAGTCTTGGCCCATTCTTGCACAACTGATGCTAGTCTTGTCCAACACACCTCGTCACGCCGGACGACTACCATGGTAAGGAGCCCTTTCTGGTCTGTGTCCAGGTTCACGGCAACCCGCATGAGATATATCACTATTGCTTTCTCCTCTTCTCCCCTTCTCATACTATTGCACACTGCGTTACCTAATTATCATTTGGGTATTCCAATTCCTTGTCTGCCCTCCTGCTCCGGTACTCCACTCGGTGAGTTGGAAAGTATCATAGCGTTATCCCTTCTGATCCAATCGTATTTCTCATAATCGACCCTGTTGTATTTTCTTTGTCTGATACTAGCAGAAGCACTTGGCTGACTCAAGATATAGGAGCTCACACGGTCTATAATTCACAAGCGTCCACAGCCCAATGCTGGTATTGGGACGTCGCCGCTTGCACATCAACCGCCCCTTTTTTTCTCAGTCGACTCTTTTCAACAGCTTCCTTTTGACTACCAGCCTCCATTTGAGCAGGACAGTCTGTCACATGGCCAAACTTCTAGCTTTGAAAGTCGTTATACACCCCAGTTGGAACAGGCACCAGCAAAGCGTCGGAAACTTGACGCCAACACCAGCACCATGCCACTGAGATGCTCTTCCACAGAGTATCAGGGTCACTCTGAGAAAGCCTTACATGTTAGCCTTTATGAAGCGGGAGGCCATGAACCCCAATCCATCTTGCCAAGATGGGCCCAACCAGTGATACCCACTTCACAGAGCTTGGCTCAATTCCCCAGGCGAATGGCCGAATTGATGATGTGTGGTGGCTGTGGTGGCGATGATCAGCCTGATGGTATGAGATCCCCCCCCTTCCTTGTCCCTTTTCCGTGTCCTATTTACCCACATTACCATTTAATTATATAAGATCATTAGATACTGACTCTTACTACTATGATGAAAAGACTACTTCTCTTTGCCTCATGCGCCGCCTGAGATGTATGAGTCAAGCAAACCATACTCTACGGAAACCCAACCAATGGTGGGAGCTCAAGTGCTACCGGAAACCATTGCGTTTCCCTTGATTGACGCAAAAGACTTCAGTCATGGAATCTTTAGCGAGGATTCAGCGCACGACACTTCAACACATGCAACATTTGCTCAAGAAATTCAGCTGCAAGCCACGCCAGAGCTCATGCAGGATGGTTTCATCTACACTCACAATACTATATTTCCTAGTATTTTCCCAAATCAACTTGTGAAGCAGGAACAAGAACTGCTCAGCTCGCCTGTGTTCGGACAAGACACCTTGGTACGGAGCGAACAAGTCCATGCCAGCTATGGGCTAAACCCAATGAATCCATCTGTTGCACAATCGATGCAACAGGCAGACATCCCCCCGGTCTTGATAGTGTCTCCTGGAAGTCTCATAGATCCTGTACACCAAGGGTCTTGGGCGAACACGAATATGCATGTTCAACAGTCGAACTTTGATATTCTGATGCCGAACCAGCGTGGCGGAAAGCGAGGCCCATTCCGTGACCCTAACCTTCGGGAGCAAACAGCTCAAACAAGAAAAATCGGATCTTGTATCCGGTGCAGAATGCAGCGAATAAGAGTAAGTCCCTCTGTCATAGCTCATCTCCCAACTTGTAGCCGGGTATTGCGTGGTAGTTCGTGGCGAAATTCAGATATGAATAACTTACCAACAACGGTGCTCAAATCCTTAGTGCGAACATAATCCAGATGAGCCAGGAGGCGCATGTCTAACCTGCAAGAAAGTTTCCAACACCAAAGCAGGCAGGTTTCCATGCCTGAGATACAAAATTACCGACATTCGACTTTTCAAACCGGGGCAAGTTCCAGGATACGAATGGACAAGGCGGTGGAACAACAACATATCTGATCCGATTCAAAAATGGGCATCATCGGATGTCAAGTCTATCAGCATCTCAGCCGGCTATTCTACAAAATGTATCGAATTGAAAGTCCGAAAATTTGTACCACAAGAGGGCGACAAACTAGAACGAACGTGGGATTTCGAAGGAAGAAAGAGGTCGGTGAAAATCCCGCCTTATGCTTTGATGGATCTAGATTACGGAAAGTCAGCATATGAGTCGCATATTCGGGATACTATGGGCGATACTCTGCAATATGTGGCTGAGCGCTCCTGTGGTTTGTTGAAGAAGACGTATATGCAGGCGTTCCAAATGTACCAGGATCCATCAATTCCAGAGGACTGGAAACAACTTTTCGATTGGACCTTCAGGTTATGGGTTGCTGTTCGACTTTCGACGACCTCGGAGTTTATTGTTGGTGAAGAAAAGCTAGGCATGTCGGACAACATTCTAGACAGCACGAGCCCTCATAGTGGCAAGATTCCTGTCCCGCCAGTCCTTGGTGCACAGTTGGACTTGGTCTTGATTCATCATATCCAAACAAAGCTCAGACGCGAGTTGCTGGACAAGTTACAAAAAATGATTCTCAAGAACAAGCCAAGTACATGGTTTGTAACGTACCTAGTGACCTTCATGTTGCTGCACAATGCAGCACTAATTACGGCGCATGACGCCGCATATGCTAGGAAGCATGGGATTAAAGTAAGTTAAAAAGATACGAGGGAGATTCTCGAGCGAAGTAGCCTCCCTCAGCCCACAGAAGAGCTTTTTGGACCCCGCGCGCCTTTCGCAAGTGCCTGATCAGACGGTCGAACAATGCCGAGAATCTTTTTGCTAACGATTGACACTCAGCGTCGATTTGCACGCGAGGACAAGGTTAAGGAATACCATCTTGGTAAGACATGAGATGTCGTCTTTTTCTAGCCATGTCCGCCGTGAAAATTTTCGTGACAGTTGCTGACGACAGGCCGTTTTGTTGAGCTGTTAGGGGCAAACATTCTTCTGGCTCATTTCCACTACTGTAACAAGGGTTGGTATCCATTCTCGGAGGATTGCAAGGGCCAGGATCTGCGGGCACTTGCAGATCTAAATGACGATAAGATTCGGTTTGTGCATGCGACGAGGAAGTTTGCCAGGGAACACAGTGAGTCCCACTTCTACCCCCAAGGCCGTGTACAATAATGCCAGTGAACCAGACTGCTGGGGCGGCGCTAATGCGCGTTGTGATACATAGAACGAGAATGGGATATACTGCGTGAACAAGGAGCTTGGGAAGATGATTACTTTTTTGTTAGCCAACTGTTTGAGGAGAACTGGCATCCCCGGTCTGATGCATAGCTGTTCCCGCGTTTGGCGTGGAAGCGGTGAGGGAGGGAGCGAGCACTTTTTGCAGGTACTCTCCGTACGTTGCAATTTAATGAAGCAAGTGAAGCGCTAGAGGAGGATACTTGCAGACAGGCAGGACATGCAGCAAGCCCAAAATGGAAGAACAAAGTACTCCTTACCTTGGCGAAAATTCTTTTCCTATGGCTCCTTTCGCCCCCTGGCCCCAACATACAGAAGCCGTCTTCATCCAGCTATTCCCTACTGGATATGGCAGATTGAACTGCAGAGATGCATGCAAGTACACGCACAGGACTCGGCGGGAAAGAAGGCAGAGTGAGCGGCGTATGACATATGTTGATACTGCCTGATTGAGGGCTCTGGACCGGGGCAAGGACTGAGAGATGGTATTGCATTGATGGAAAACTAATTTCCGGTAGCACAAAAAAAGAATCCTTCTTTCTTATCTCTTCTCTCGTCCCCGTCTTGACCGTCGCCTTGTTTTGTTTGTTTGCCTGTCTGCAACCTTCCGGCTAACAGCATCCATACTCCCTACATCTGGGCACCTGACCTCATCTCTTGGGATGCCCAGACCTTGTTCTATTCCCGATGTGCTGGGAGCTGTTAGACATGGGACGGAACACTGGATGAAAGATGCATTGCCGATCTTTTTCGTACGCCCTATGTCTACGCCATGATTGAATGTGTGGCGTTAACTGGGCCCTGGGTGACGGGACACCACATGTTGCCGTATTTCGATCGCGAATCTCGTAACACGCCGTGTGACAGACTCTCGCTTCTCGTCTTATCTACTGATCACATCTCCATGTGTCTCTTGCCCCATTTACCGGGGAAGGGTGGAAATACAACCCTGGGCTCTCGGGTTCAGAAAAGGGAAATGAAGAGAAAGGAAAGAGAACGGTGAGGAGCTCCACTCGAGCTTGAGAATTGGGGGTAAGAGAGAGAAAAAAAAAAAAACCTGCGCCCGCCAGCGGCTTGTCGTTGTTTGCGCCACCGGCCGTGAACGTCGTTTTCAAAAGAAGGCTGTGCGGCTCCCAAGGTCAGCCGAAACTTGTTTGTGGCGTTTGACAGCCCGGGGTGTTGGATCAGGTGTCGAGCCACTGAGATGTTGCGTGGTCAATAGTAGTACTCCATCTGCCAGGCAAGTATCTAGCATTTTCGCAACATTGAATCGTCGGCACTCCAGCCATGTTATCCAACCTTAGCGCCGTACTCCGCTCGACTGCATTGCATACGCCGCATTCCGTTCCCTAGGCTCGGGTCAAGCATCTTGCCTCCCCTTAACTACATACATTACCTGGGGCCCCCGGTCTTTCCTAAACATCTCCATAAAGCAAGATCCACATGTCAGTTGCCTGCGGTCAAGCAGTAAGGATTCCCTGGAAGGCTTCACGGCAATATGGTCCATTTCCAGCTGCTTGAGAGGACGCCACAAGCCCTCTTCGAACGAGGGTGTTCCAGTTTACCCTGATGAAGCGGGAGATCTTATACCAACAGCGGACGCCGACTTCACCACCCGTCCGGTTTGCCGTTTTGTTTGTCGCCTCGTAGTCAGGTTCACTTTTCAATAAACTCGCTCTCTGCCATTGAGTCCCGGATATGATTGGTTGTGTGTTATTTTAAGACGGTGAATCAAGGCTGAAGACATCGTGATGCTCGAAGCGGCCCGTAGGTACTTACCCGCCCGCCACAATATGAGTACATGCCGGCTTGCGATACATATGCGCGCACCCGTTGAGGGTCTGTAAGCTCCAGCAAATGCTACTTTTTTTTTCTGTGAGTAGTAAGTGACTGAGCGAAGGATAAGGGGGTGTGTATGTGTTGTGCAAACAAGCCCGTGGACTAGCCCAGTACCCGTGAAGATACAAATATATAGACATATATACGTACATACACCGACACACACACACATATATATATCTGTTCGTCCCTTTGTTTTTGGGAGACTCGATATCTTCATTGACATTGAAGCATCTTCTGCCTCTTCTTCCAATTTTTCTATTCATTGACCAAACTTTGTAAAGTTCAATCAAAGGGCTATATTTTCGGACAGGTATAATGAAATTGTCACATCACGTACCTAGGAGCAGTCCGCTGATTATCCTTAGTGTCACTGAAGCAGCAATGGCGCCTGAATTGAACGGACCGGTTGTCGGATCGCGAATCGCCCCTACACACGATGTTGCGTTTCCAGCTCCGTTGGTCGAGGTTTCAGGACTTCCGAATGGATTTCCTGCCATGCTTGACTCGCCTTTAGCATGGTCAGGAAGACAGTTCAAAAGCGATTCGGACTATGTGTTCCGCCTTGAAGCGCCACACTTGATTGAGATCGATCATGCCCTCCAGGAGTTCAAGAGTAAGCCGAGAGAAACTGTCGTCCATATAACTTGAACCGTAATAACTGACGAGAAGTTGGCAGAGCTTGGCTTGGACGGAGACTTGGTTTCGACTCAAAACTTTGCCCTACCCACTCTTGGCCCAAAGCTCCTCGACTTGCAACGGGATATACATTGTGGTAAAGGGTTCGGCCTTGTCCGTGGTTTAGATCCTCAGCGATATTCGGTTGAAGATTTGACCACCATCTATATGGGAATCCAGTGCTACATAGCAAACCTCCAAGGAAGACAAGACAAGAAGGGAAATATGCTCGGTAAGTAAATTCTGCTGCATTGAGGTTCATCGACAGTAGTACTTAGACTCTGTCACAAGTTCACATCATAGCGGACAATTCAACCAAAATGAAAGCCTTGCACCATCGCCATTCAACTGCACCTATTGTAAGTTTAATGAGATTTGAGTTGCTTCTTCAGAAAGCCTTATTGACATATCTCGGCTGTAGACCTTTCACAACGAAGAAGCTGGAGACATTATAAGCTGGCTTACCAGGAGTACTGCCGTCTCTGGCGGAAAGTGTATTCTTGCTTCCGTATATACCGTTTATAATGCACTTGCAGCATCGCGCCCTGACTTGGTGCGCGTCCTTGCACGGTCTGACTGGCCATTTGCATTGTAAGTACCCGAAGCGGCTACCAATCTCATTAGCAGGAAACTTACACTCAGTGATGATAGGCCACGGTTTCAATGCCGTCCCGTCCTATTCTACCATGACCGTAGGATTATTTCCAACTTTGGTAGAGCCGCCTTGCTAGGCAGTGCAAGCCACGTTCGACCAGACCGACTCCCCAAGCTCAACAGTATCCAGATTGAGGCTCTAGATGCCATTGAGAGAATTGCACAAGCAACGCAACTCGAAATCACTACACAGGCCGGAGACATTCACTTTATTAACAATCTGGCCGTCCTTCACCGGCGCGAAGGTTTTACCAACGGAAGCTCCACGACAGAGAAGCGCCATCTAGTACGAATGAGGCTTCGTGATTCTGAGATGGGATGGAGTATTCCGAACGACCTGAAGGACGAATGGGTAGAGACCTTTGACCCGAAACTAAACCGCGTGTGGCATCTCGAGTCGATGCCAGACGGCTTCTTCCCTTTGCGATCGCAAGCAAACTGAAATGGAAATGATGACGTTTGCGAAGAATAGTCACATGATGTATTGCACATAAGAGAATGGCAATCCGAGATGTGAGGAGAATTTGTTTCTGCCACCTTGGAGCAAGGTTTCAAAATTGTTTGATTGTGGACTGGCATAAAACTGGAGCAAAAGCTGCACAAGGGTCTTGTTGAGTGTGTTTGTACTGAGGCTGAGGCGTATTGGTGTACCCCAAGAAGGTGTGTATTTTCTTTTGTCTTTCATTACTACCAGGGGGTCGGAATCAGACACCTTGCACACGCATACTTATTGTATGGTGTGGTAGAATTAGAACTGCCTGGCAACAGGTGACTAAGATAGAATCAGTAAGGTATATGTCAAAATGAATAGAATATGTGTGCTCTCCAACCTATATATTGCCTGATGTGGCTACTTCACGTCTTTGAGCTGTGACGTGGTGTGAAAACAAATGATAGTTCCGTGCAGGACGACACCTGAGCATTCTGTATTGTATTCGGAGGTCTCACCAAGAGAACCAGCTAAATGGCAAATGAATACTACCTGTGATGGGCATTAGCCGGCTGCATCACGTCAAAGTTAGTGTGAATGATGGCAGCCCGCTCATTACTGTTGCATTATCCTTGTCTTAAATGCATAGACCAAGACTATCATGTGACAGAGTATGCAGAGGTCCTGGAACACAAGAAAGGGTAGCAAATCGAGTTGAGTGCCCGTAGCATTAGTGGCCATAATAGTGAGTACTAATTGGTGCTACCAGGTTCTGTGTTGCAAGCAGGTTCCGAAAATGGTTCACCAATTCTGAAACGTTGTGTTACCAAGACCAGGTTTGACCACACATTCGGGACCGTTTTGATGCGCCTGTGGCTACTATGCTTCGCGTCCACGATATGTTGACTCACGCCATATGCTGCCTGGCCACGTTCTGAAGAGCTCAGCGTATCCGTTACCTCCTATGGTGGGTAAGAACTTTTGAAACGGCGACTCTCAAAAGTCACGAAGCTTCGACGAACCTCATCCCAACTCTCTCTAGTATCCAGTTTTCCTAGCTGAAAAGATATATAATACTAGGGTTCAGGGACAATCCTCTGTAACTGGAGTCGGATGTCTTGCCGCGGGCAGCCATCTCAAGACTTGCTTTTTTTTTTGTTGGCTGTCGTGCATCCCTTGCAACCACCCATTCATTGGCAGCGACGCCAAAAGGCACTAGTACCAGATGTCAATTAATGGCGGTGAGACAAAAACCATGTTTTGACCGTGGCCAAGCCTTAACCAGAGGCTTGAAAGCATAAAATATCCTGGGGTCCCTCCTTTGGATACCAAAGGCAATCAATAGTCAGTGCCTGCGGCGTCCTTTTCCAGATGTACGAAGCCTGCTTTGGTACCAAGTGGCCGGAATGCTGGGTGCGAGCGCGAGCCAGCTCAATGTGTCTAGGCGAGCCATGCAGCCAGGGGGTCAGGTTACCGGACTTTGCCTGGAACATGGAGAGTGCCGTTGGCGCGGAGATCGATGCACGCATGCGGAGCTACTGTAGGTTTAGGACGCACAGCCAACCGTCTGCCAGGATCCAACTCCACCAGAGACCATTCACGTAGAACTTGGTTCGCTTAGAGAGCGAGCTTCGTACAGAACACTGTATCGGACTCCTTACCACGGAGAAGCCTTCGTCTCGCGCCTCGCATTGTAGCATGCCAAGTCAGCTCAATCGATCCAACGGTGGCTTGTGTTCAGCCTTGAGGACGTGGGCATATACTTCACAGGTCTAGATTGTGTATCTTGCCCCTAATCTCTCAGACAGGCGCATACGTTCGAGCTGGGGGGCCGACCTTCTCTAGCAACATCGTGCAGCACCCGGCGGCACAAACAACGGTGGGAGTGTCGAAATGGCGCCTGTACCGCGGCCCAAACAGCCAGGGAATGAATCAGGGGGGTACCGGCCAGTGTACCAAGACGACGACCGTGACGGATCGGAGGGTGGTGTCGGTGATGGTGATGCTTCCCCCAGTGACGGCGGCCATATTGGCCAAGGTCGGGATGCTCGAGGGACTTTTCGAGAAGGGGATTTCCTCTCGCGGCCTTCGCGATCTGAGAATCGCTTCCGGGTTGCAACGTTCGTTCTTGCCGCGCTGCTGGTTATTTTAGTTGGGGTCAACGCCTTCATGGCACTGCCCTTCGCCTTCAAGGGAAGGAACGACTCTTGTCCCTGCCGTCCCAAAGATGTACCTCAGTACTTTCAGACTTCCCCCGAATTATGGGCCGGTCCTACGCCAACAGGAAAACCTGCTTTCATGGCACAGACACGAACTTTCGACCCAACCGCTACCTATGTGCCAAATGAGCCATTACAGACCTCCATTCCCATCGAGGGAATGGGCTCGGGGAATGAGAGCATCTTCAAGCTTATGGGCTACTTATCCCCCTACACACCTTCTCCAGGATTTGGTGTGGACGAGTTTCCACTTCCTGCTGGGTCAGAGATTCTTCAGCTTCAGATGCTCTCTCGTCATGGATCGCGATATCCTACGACAGGATCCTCGGTTGCCCAGCTCGGGCAGAAGATTGCTAATGCCTCAGAGACATTCAGTCCAAGAGGCCAACTCTCGTTTCTCAGGGACTGGAAATACCAACTCGGTGCCGAAATTCTTGTGCCAAAGGGTCGCGAGGAGCTCTTCCAATCAGGTAAGTAGTTGATACTGGTGCCAGGAGCCCTTGTCGTTCGTTGGACTGACTTGCTCTCACTCTACAGGCGTTTTACACAGCTACATGTACGGAAGTCTTTATAACCCGAACAGCAAGATTATCGTTCGCACAACTGTAGGTGCTTGACTGTGTCATAGTACTCATTGTGCCTTGGGCTGATGTTTGTAGACGCAAGACAGAATGCTAAAGTCTGCCGAGAATTGGATGGCTGGATTTTTCGGACTGGAGTGGTGCGCTTTGGATCAATGTAATTCTCAAGTTCTTATGCTAATCTCGCACAGGCCCAGAAATGCTACCATTGAAGTCATCATAGAACAGAAGGGATTCAACAATTCGTTGGCCGGGTCTTTAAACTGCCCAAACGCAAACGCCAAATCTTCAGGAAATGAAGCTGTCAATACATGGATACACGAGTACCTCAAGGAAGGTAAGGCTCTCCCATTGACCATCTATTCGCAAACACGCCGGCCTGACGCACGATGTAGCCCAGACACGATTCCAGTCAATGACAGAAGGGTTTACATGGACTATTGAAGATGTTTATGCTGCTCAGACCATGTGCCCATATGAAACTGTTGCCTATGGCTTCAGCAAATTTTGCGACCTCTTTACGTATAAGGAGTGGCGAGACTTTGGATACTCTACTGATCTATTTTTTTCTGCTATAAGCGGATTCCACAGCCCAACGGGGGTATGTACTGCTTCGATCCATCAACATTGTCAATACTTGAGCTTTTGCTGACGGAGGCGTAGAGAGCTGTTGGCCTCGGCTATCAGCAAGAAATCATGGCACGACTTAAAAATCATACCCTGGGATACTCTGGCTCACAGATCAACGTCACACTCGACAATAATACCGAAACATTTCCCTTGAACCAGAGCCTCTACTTCGACTTTTCACATGATACTAACATAGTGTCAATTTTGACAGCCTTTGGACTGAGGCAATTTGCCGAGGAGCTGCCTGCCAAGGACTATCCCGGAGACCACAACTTCACAATCTCACATGTGACGCCCTTTGGAGCACGACTCGACATGGAAATCATTCAAACTCCCAAGCCGCTGTCTCCGAATCGAGATGGCTATCTCCGTGGCGGGAAGACAAAGTATATACACTTTGTCCTGAATCAGCGGACGCTACCCTTGGGCAAGAGCTTCCCAGAGTGTGATGCCAGCAGGAGGGACGGGTGGTGCGAGTTAGATGCATTCATTAAAGTTCAAGACGGCATGGCAGCCAGGGCCAACTTTGATCACGCTTGCTTCGGAGATTACCCTGCTGTAAAATATGGAGAGGCGACTGACGGTGTTCCGCCGTAATGTTCCATACAGCTTGAACTTTTCCGGCTGAATAAGTGGCCTTGTCAGTATATGCACACTACTTTCCTCTAATGTCTCGATTAATTTCAAACGTTTTTCCCTTTTAATATACGCAGGACACGGCCAATGGACGGAACTGGTTGTTGCTTATCACTATATGGAGTCTTCACTTTTCAACTTAATCAACCCGTGGGCACACTTAATAGATCAATGGTATGCGCTGTTCATGTACATACTAATATGCAGACCGCTTTTGCCTGTGCTCATCTATAATGCTGATATCCTACAGCTAAGAATAAAAATCAAGCCATACTCCGATGCCTGCTACCAAAACCACATGTTGACAAAACCCAGAAGCCAAAAGGAAAAAAAGAGAAGAAGAAAAAATCGCCTTCCCGCATGCAAACTCCAGACCGGACACAATCTACTCTCTCTTCTCATTGTCCAATACCGCGCGGTCGTCTCTATCAAACTGCACAGATGAAGCAGACGACTTCTTCTCGACAGGACCGTCAGAAACACTCATGGGACGCACCATGCTGGCATGTTCCTGAATGCCGTGTTGAGGCTCAATCATTTCGCCATCATGAGCAGGCTCCCCACTGGGGGGACTCCAAGCCAAGAAGTCCCGACGAACCTCAACATAGTCGTATGAAAATTCGCCATGCTGGTCATCATCCATGCCGAGAAGCTCAGCTTCCTCAGATGCCCGAAGCTTCAAACCAGGGACGACGTCGATAATCTTGGCAATAATGGCGGACATGACAAAGGCGTAAGCAGAGGCAGCGACGATGGCGGCAATCTGCCACCCGAGAAGCTTGTAGTTGCCGTCGATGAAGCCGCCGCTGGCTCCAGTGTTGACGCCATCGAGGCCGATGACCTTGCCAGTAGCGAAGAAGGCGTTAAAAATGAGGCCAACCATGCCGCCAATGCCGTGCTCGGCAAAGACATCAAGAGAGTCGTCGATACGAACAAGGAACTTGACTATTCGGGAAAAAGAAGGAGACATGTTAGCTGCGGCCCAGAATCATTTTTTTTAAAAAGGTAAATATGCAAGAAATTTGTCCCCAACGTACTCTTTGTGCCAAAGTTGCAGCAAACGCCAGCAACAACACCCAGGGCAATGCTCGCCCAGGGGTCAATGAATCCGGAGGCAGGCGTAGCAGCAACAAGACCAGAAATCGTGCCCGAGCACCAGCCAACCATGGACCACTTCTTGGCCAGCCTAAAATCAAGCAGGCACCAAGTCATGGCGGCAAACATGGCGGTCAGACACGAGTTCCAGCAGGCCATGACAGCACGCAGGTTGGCACCAAAGGCCGAGCCGCCGTTGAAGCCCAGCCAGCCGAACCATAGGAACATGGTGCCGAGGGTGATGAGCGAGATGTTGTGCGGGCGGAAGTTCATCATCATCCTCTCGTTGCGGCGGCCCAGCACCCACGAGTAGGCGAGGGCCGACACGCCGGACCCAATCTCGACGGGGACTCCGCCGGCGTAGTCGAGCACGCCGTTCTTGTAACCCCAGCCGTTGGCGTTCCACACCCAGTACGCAAGAGGGCAGTAGACCAGCGTGGCCCAGAAGAAGGTGAAGACCATGCCGGGGATGACGCGCCCCCTCTCGGCGACGGCGCCGACTGTCAGGGCGGCGGTGACGGCGCAAAACATCATCTCGTAAAAGGAGAACAGCAGCGCGGGGATGAGCGGCGACCCGACCGACGGCGTGGCCCAGACGTTGATGAGGCCAAAGTGCTTGAGGTCGCCGATGAAGCCGTTATTGGACGTCTGACCAAAGGCAAGAGAGTATCCCCAGAAGTACCACTGGAATACGATGACGCTAAAGGACATCATGACGACCCAGAGCATGGAGAGGGCTGATTTTCTCCGCGCGAGACCAGAGTAGAGGAACGCGATACCGGGGACCATGAGGAGCACGAGACATGATGAGATGATGATGAAGGCCTGGTCGCCCGCCTGATACCACTGGTTAAGGTTTTCGGTCCCTATTTATTCACAAAACATGGTTAGGAATTGTTTTTATCCATTTCCCCCGCCCATCTCCCTCTATTACAAGAAACGGCTTCAAAAAGGATGCTGCGAAACGTTAAGTTGGTACATACTTGAATCGCCGCCAATCTCATCGTTTGTGCCATTGAACACGGCTGGCGCCCCGAGATGGGCGTACGACATATTGGAATGAAAGAAGAAAGATGGGGAAAAGATGTCGAGAGAGATTCGAAACTTGCAACCAGCAGAAGAATTCTATGCCTTATGCTTGTTATCCCGTCTCAAAATCAGATTTTCTTCTGGCCCGACCCCGAGTTTCCCTTTTCCCCAGACACCAAAGTACCAAGACGCTGAGTGAGAATCGCGATGTCCGGTTTTTCGCTTTCCTGGTGATGATGAGTACACCCAATGCCCTCCAACAACAAATGACGTATATCGAAGTTTGTTAGGGTTGTCAAAGGGGACAAGAGGGTTTTGTAAATGCGAGGCAAATACTACCAAAAATCAGGAACATAAACACACCGCAGCCGCCGGGGGGAAGGGAGGGAATACTCCCATCTATATAAGATGACTACGGACTACTCGGTACAAGTAAAGGGCCTAGGCCAACCCTTTTTCTTTTTATCTCTGTTGCGGGAGAGTCAAGTAGCGACGACCCAACTACTTCCCAGTGCCCTCTTGTGCTGTCTGACAAAGTAACCTAGCTTGGTCGATACCGGGTTCTGGGGACAAGCAAGTACATGGCGGGATGGGCAAGTTGGCCATAGACGGCGAGGTATAGATAAGGACTCTTAAGTTACCCAAGCTGGCGGCGCAGATCCCTGCCCAGGGACATATCCGATGAATGGGGAGCCAAGAATGCAACTGAAAAGGCGTTCCCAAAGACCCGCTTCCTCGGCAGGGCCAATTAGCCTCGGGCTATCGGCGCGAGCATTTTATACATATTTTCTTGTCGACTGCGGATGGTGCATTGGGTATTTTTGGCTATTCGTGCACATTACTGGACACGGGCTTATCGTGGGGTGCCGAAAGCGGAGGGGGGCGTGTGCGCAGTGAAAGGTGCTGCCTCATTGCTTCACGCGTGGGATCCCGAGTGAGCTTTGGCAAATTGTCAACGGCTTTGGACGTGATTGGGAACAAGCGTCAGGGGACATGTGATTTATGACAATGGTTTGGGTGACACGACGGTCTCCGAGTTTTGTCGTTGCCATGCCAGCTTGCACATTGCACTGCATCGGCGCGCATGAGATGATTGTTCAGTGTTTGAAACGTTATGCTTAATTTCCCCTCTATTTCAATGTCTCTGGGCCCATTGATGACTCGAATACTAATGGATTTGCTTTGCCTCAGTCCCGAGCAATCATCAAACAATCAGTGTTGGCCGCCAGTCGAGCATCGAGACATGGGACATGCTATCTCGACGCCTGTCTCGCACCCCTGGACGGTGCCTTGCGCTCCCGGAAACGTCCGCGGCAAAGCCATGTCCAAATATCAAGAACACAGTCAGAAGCCAAAGGGTCTCTAGGGTCTTATCTATTTGGGGGCGTGAACCTTGCATCCAAAGACCCCGTCCGTATGCACTCCGTCCCTCCGTCCCGGCACCACGGAGACAACCAGGTGATAAGCCCAACCAGGCACCAAAAAAAAATTAACCAAGAGTAAAGTAATAAAAGCCCTTTACCAATGCAACGACGTCCAGCTCTCGCAATGCGACAATGTCTTTCCGCACAGTCCCATTCTTCGCGTCCATGTCTCGGGAGACGGCAACGGGTTGATTTTACATTCCTTTTTCTTCGTTCCGTTCTCACAAGGCTTAACTCACATGTGAGAAGCAGGCATCGTGGCGGTCAGCCCCACACCCGCCGTCAGCAGCCAGTGCACCAGGCTGCTGATAAGCATGGCCCCGCGAACCATGATTGGCTGGCTCCCTCTGTACTCCGTACTTGGTGCTGACTCAGTACTCCTGGCCAATCACACACGCCCACTGCCAACAAATCTCTGACAATGGGCATCAGAATCTATTACTGGCCCTCCTTGGTCATCGTTCCTTCTGCCCTCCCGCTGCGCTAAAGCTTGGCTTCCAGCCCTGGGCCTTGGCCCTTGGCCCATCTCATGTGCCCCAGGTTTTTTACATAACGTGTCACGGCCGTCCATGTCCTTTATCGCTATCTGCAGCGGCGCTCTGGCCAATCAATCGCCTGGCAACGCAGCACCGACATGGACGTTTGACTTTCCTGGATGCTAATAACTCCGTACACCAGGCTATCTACTATTTGTCACAGGGAGCCTTTTCACCAGCCCATTCAGAGCTTCAGCTGGGCATGCCAAGTCCATCGACAAAGAACCAACGCCCATTTAGATAATGAACTCGACGGGGGCAGAATGCGTCCCCTTGAATATCACCTAGATCATGGCACCTGGGGTTTATTAATCGGCCATTCTCATAACCGCACCCCCCTGTCCCAAGTCCAATCTTGGACGTTGGGTAGCTATCGAGATATCCCCGATGACGACGATCTACGGAGTACGGAGTACCGTTGACCTCTTCCAGGTTTCCTTCACACTGGCGCACACTCCAATCCTCGCAGCCCCAGATATTTACCGTCTTGCTTGTCTGGCTAATTCCCGCCAGTCATGCGCGATGACGAACAACAGCCGCCCACCACAACCGCCTTTAACGTTCCTGCAATACAACCGCTGGCACACCCATCCAGTCAATGTCACATGGCATTTCCTAATCGTCAGACATATGTACACCCGTGCAAGACACGTCCGGTACTCAGCACCGCAACTCCAACTCCCGCCAGCAAGCCACGCGCATCACCAAGAAAGCACGGCGTAGCGTTTCGGCAACAAAACTCTGTACTTTACCGCCATTCGTCCCAATGGCCCTCGCCTAATCTCTATTCTTCAAGCAAGGCGCCGACTGGTGCTGCAGAACCTGCCCTGCACCGTTCCAGAAAAGAGCCGCGTTAAAGAATTCACCGTCCCGCAGACAGACCAGATTGTCCGCCCGAAAGAAACAACGCCAACGACTTTGCCAACCCTTATTACTACCACCCAAAAAAAAAAAACACGCTGCTTCTCACCCCGCAAAACACGACCTCCCATTGAACCCGAGAAAATGTCGTCCGGCCTCGACTAGCCCCCCCTCGTAGCTTCTCACCTCCTTCCCAATCGCCATTCCCAGCTCGCAAACCCCCCTTATTACTGTACTCCGTCCCAAGGGGGGCCCCAGCAATAGCATTACCATCCTTATCGCCCAATGATATCTTGGGCCGTCGTTCCCCGTCAAAAGACTAAACATGTCGAGCCCCCCAAACCGGATCTGTCATGAGTGGCAAGGCCCCACGACCACCCAAGCGTCCATGGCGTCCTTCACGGACTTCTTATCTCCTCTACAACGTGCAGTATGTACATACATACAAGCTCCCCGACAACCTTAATTATCACGGGAGCTCTATGTACAGAGACAGCAACTTTGACAGGTCGCAAGGTCTGGGGAACGACCGAGTCTGGCAGGTGCCCATGTGCGCTTATCTCCTAGTCAGACGGGAGAGATCTGGGGAAAGCCCAAGTTTCATTGGTACGTAAACACTACAAGAGGGCGCATCAGGGTTGAAAGACTAGTAGTAGGCTTTGAAAGTATTTACCTAGAGTGTCAAAACTGTCCACTCGACGACACCCAAAGCGAATTGCTGCATGGACCATTTTACAGCCCTTCCTAGCAGCCCAAACTGTCACCAAACCCTTCGACGTCCTAGTAGTAGAGGTATTGATATCCAGCCAAACCTCCGATATGCGTCATACTGCGAATAAAGCATCCTGGAAACGCCCATGGAAGCAATCATGCCCACCACCCGGCCCCCCCTCCCCCACCCCTACACAGGTAAAGATTCCGTTTTGCCCCAGCGCCTCAGAAGATACACAGCTTCCCCGTCTGTTCCTCCCTACTAATCTCATACGTCAAGATGTCATGATTTCTATAATGCAGCATCAGCCTGTACCGGCGCGGAACTGCCACTCGTCGCGTCTCATCCACATCTCCCAGCACACCGTCTTCTTGGACCGGCCCTATGGCCATGCCATGGAGCGGACGTTTGCTGACCCTGAACGCCGCCTCATCCGATTGCCTGGGCAGGACCCAGTCGATTCGCAGACCGTAGTGAAGTACACCTGCTAGTTTCTCAATCGGGTTTATAAGACGCGTGGGAGTAACGAGTAGCACTCTGCCAATTGGGGAGCCGATGACCACTAGGAATAGTTCGGGGATGTGGGCCACCATGTTGAGTCGGCTTGTTGCGCGGAAATGCGGCCTCATGGCTCGGCCGGGCGTCAAGCCCATGGTCAGGGCGTATGGACAGAGGATTCCTAGTTCTGGCAGCCCTTTCTGGCGAGGCTTATCAAGGGTACGCATTTCGACATCCTTTTCATACAATCGCAGCATGTGATATCGTTCTGCGAATTTCCCTAGTCCGGTTACATAGCCGGCTGTGTTTTCATTATACTCGGTGCCTCTCCGGAGGAAGTCTGTAAGTTTACCTATGCGTCGAGGTGCCTTGAGAGCTTTCCCACTATGTGGCATGTAAATCATGTCGAGTCGCACAGGAGGATTTCTTCTCGGCCGTAATTTCATACACTGTGAAGACGGCGGCGGGAAACGAACGTCGTCGTGTAACAAGCCTTCACTTTCAGACTCTGACGGAATCAAGGAAGCAAATGGATCTGTAAAAATATGCTGCACAGGTAGAGAACTCTCTGTAGGGTTTGGGGGCGCGGTCAACATGGGGTGGCCAACCGGTAGAGCAACATTTGATGTATGCGGAGCTTGTATTTCCTCAGCCTGGTTTGCCAATGTCGATGGGATGTCGCTCTGTGCTGCGTGATCTGTGGCATAAACGATATCGTAAAACGTTTCATCATCATTTTCGTCATCGACTTCCCCAATTTCCAAATCTTCACCAGGTTCAAGCTCGTCGTCAGAGTTGGTTTCTGCGTTTTGGTCGTCCTCTGCCTCGGCGCCTTCACCAGGTTCCGATTCGCCAAGCTCAAAGGCCTCATCATCACTCACATCGTCAAAGGCAAACTCATCGTCGCCCATGTCTGCGGCCAACTGCACATCTTCGGGGGGGTCGTCCGCACGAATGATGGCATTTCGCAACGTGGGTTGCGTGCAGGGGTTG